AATAGTCCGTCCTGGACACACCTGTGGAGCCAGAGATTGAAATTTTGTGATGTGCTGCAATGGATTCTTCATTTGCATCCGAGCGCTTCCAGACTTTTGATCATTTCCCGGATTTCTCGTGAAGTTTCTGGAAAATTTCCACCCACCGGTTGTTGCAGATTTCGTTTGCTGCTACATCGTTGAATTTGGTTTCGTGCTGAGTTTTTCGGCCATAACATTCTTCGCATTCCGATGCGGATTTTGAGTGCGCGAAGCTGTGAGCAGTAATATTTTTGATCAAAAAAAGGAAGAAAATTCCAGGATGAATTCAAGTGGCGATTTCTTCGGTGTACACATTGCTTCACCAGGCGGTCGGGAATCCGCTCAGGGGGCGGTTTTCTCATCGCTGGAAGAAGCGTACGGGTTTGTGAACAGTCCAGAAATCAAAACAAAAGGTTTTCGTTTCATTTTCTTCTTTTTTCGTTCGGGATTCGCTGTGGACGCATGCCGGGGAAATGCCATCAGTTTGCTAACTCTCAGAAAGAAAGAGGGACCCATCGACAGCCTTGTCAACCGATACGTGCCGTTAATGCATGTTCGGGCTAAGTTTGTGCTGCTTCCGCCATTAACAAACAGTAAATAATGCAGGAATTTCAACTGTGATGACAGCCCCGAAGCAGAGGCTACTTTTGTCCTGCAGTCTTCTGAAAGCTGTGCTTCGCTGCCCTATAATATTGGTACGGTCCTTGGATTGAGCGTTCAGTGAATCTCATGCAAAAAAAAAAAATTGACGTTTCTTGTACAGTTGATACGTCGTTTTCTGACAATGCATGATGTTTCCAAATACCGGTGACATATCTGAACCTGTAAATTTTACTTTACGGACAGTGTCTTGCATGCCACTGTTCCAGCGAGTCATCGGATTCTCCGTTTGTATTTCCTGACTATTCCCATGTTCCTTATCCGGTTTTTTTCGACGTGTCGAAATTTTTGTGATGACTGGCAAGATGACTGGTTTACCGCTAAGAGAAGTGTAGGAGCGCCCTGGTTTCCTTGTCATAATGATAATGACCACATTTTATTTGCCCTCTTTTGTGACACTTGTGATAATTCCCGAGATGAAAGGTTTTTTCCCTGTCTTCCAGGAGCTCGTTTCAAAAGATTCCGGAACGCTGAGGATGCGAA